GGGGAGGGGCACAGGGAGAGGGCGAAGCTGACTCCCAGCTGAGCAGGGAGCCCAACAATGTGAGGCCGGATCCCAGGACCCCAGGATCATGACCTCAGCCGAAGTCAGACACTTAACCGACTGAGCCACCTAGGCGCCCCCACATACCAACTTCTAAGTGTAAAATACAGTGCTGTCAACCATATGCTCACTGCTGTGCACCAGATCCCCAGAATCTTCTATCCTGCCTCTGCACCTGCAACTGAACTCAGGGGGTCTGCTGCTTGGGGTGCTTCAAATTGAACACCACCCAAGGAAGTGTTGAAAGCAAAGAGTTTTTATTACTTGTCACAAGTAAGGAGACAAGGAGATAGCTCTCAAACCATTGCCTCCTCTTAGGGTTAGTACAGGGGCTTTTATTCGGTAAGCTTCAGAACGGGGGCAGGGCGCCAGGTCCATTAAGGAACTTACCTGTATTTTGTTACTTAAGCACTTCGGGTCAACTGCACATGTTCAGTATGTCAAGGTGCTAGCGCACACATTGTTATGTTCAAAAATGGCTGACCCCCACCCCCCATAGGAGATCTTAGAATTATAATGAGCTAAAGGTAACTTCAGGGCAATTTAGGGGGCTTCTCTGCAAGACCTCAGCAACAGTCCGGCTTAAGCTGGCTCCCGCTGTGGGGTAGCCCATGGTGCACCTGGCCCTCCGTCTCCTGGGTGGGAGCAGCTTGTTCTACAAAACAGACACATTCTTTCCCTGCTGTCGTCCCTTCCCCCTCCTCCTTTCCACTGAGCGCTTGCAGCCCTCTGATCCAAGCAACTCCCCTTGGCGTCCTAGCTCACACACCTGCTGAACAGCTCGCACCCCCTCGGCCCCCAGCCCCTGGCACCCCCCTCTCTACGTCCTGTTTCCACCAGTCCCACTACTTTAGATAGCTCCTACAAGCGCTGTGGTGTAGGGTGTGTCTTTTTGCCATTGCTTATTTCACTTAGCAAAATGTGTTTGATGTTCGTAGGTCAGAATTTGCTTTCTTTTCAACCGGGGAATATTCCGTTGCCTGGATCTGCCACCATTTCCTTATCCATTCATCCACTGATGGACACATGGGTTGCTTCCACTTCTTGGCTATGGTGAATAGTATTACAACCAATAGCAGTGTTTTAGACACTCACCTGAGTCAGTAAATAAGTGGCCCGTGGGCCTCAGACAGCTCTAAGGGAGAAGGGTCCCTTCCAGGCCGGAGTTCCGTTCAGCCTTAGCTTGGGATGTGAGATGAAATGGGGACAGGCGCAGCCTGGGTTCCGTGTGTCCTGGCTACTGGCAGCAGCCCCCTTTCCATTGCTCTTGAACTTCAGGGGTGAGCATTTTGGGGTTGTGGGGACAGTCTGGGATCTGCTCCAGTTTTTATACACCATGGGAAATCACTCTCTAGCGCCACCCCGCGGCATGAGCCACGATACAGTGGAGGACACGAGGCTCCCTCTAGGATTGCCAGGTTAAAATCCAGGATGCAATATTTGGAACATACTTGTACTAAAGAATTATTCAGTATTTGTCTGAAGTACTAGTTTCACTGTGGGTCCAGTACTGTTATTTGCTAAATCTGGCATCCCTGCCTCCTAACCCACCGAGGGGCTCCCTCACAAGCCAGGACAAGGACCTTTGCATCCCGACCCAGGTTCCCTGAGAATGGATGGTATGGATGCTTCTGAACTCCAGGCCTGGCTTGGAGCACAGGGTGTCGAGCCCCATCCTGCTGCACTAAGCTTGCCCCTAAGTCACCTGCTTGACTTAGCCCCCATCCTTGCCTTGCTCTCTTTGACTCTAGGCAATGAGTCTGCCTGAACCCCAGAAGGCGGCCCTGAAATCCATTTTTCATGATCTCTTTTTTTTTTTATCAGGCAACCCCCCAGTGGTGATCATGAAGCCTCATGTCCTGCCTGTGCTTCTCATCAGGGGAATGAAGAGTGGGTGGCTGGGGCAGATGCAGACAGGGGCAGCCGCGGCTTGGCCTTCGGAGTGTGAAGGAGTCGGCCCTTTTGTGGATGCCCTCAAGAGCCTGGCCAGGCGACGCTGCAGTGTGGGGCTCTCTCCTGTGAAGGGGAGCGGTGCAGGAGACCACCTTGAGCAACCTGCTGGCATGGGTCCACAGTGTCTCTGAGTCCCGAAACCCTCCTCTCCCAGAAAAAGGGCCTTTGCTGCCTTGGCACAGACAGAGGTACGATGAGAGGGACTGAGGCCATCTCTGGGAGCATGGAGTGTTCCCTCTCCGACCCGCCATTGATCGCCTCCCTTGCTTTAGCAGTTACGAGACAGCAGGGCCTGGAAATCCTCAGCCCACCCACCCTACCCAGGGTGGGCACCCCACAGGCCTAAACCAATGCCTTATGCTCTCAGGAGGCCTCTTGTCCCTTATCCTGAAGGCTGATAAAGAAGCTCCTTCTCGGGCGCCTGGGTGGCTCAGTTGGTTGGGCGACTGCCTTCGGCTCGGGTCATGATCCTGGAGTCCCGGGATCGAGTCCCGCATCGGCCTCCCTGCTCAGCAGGGAGTCTGCTTCTCCCTCTGACCCTCCCCCTCTCATGCTCTCTATCTCATTCTCTCTCTCTCAAATGAATAAATAAGATCTTAAAAAAAAAAAAGCAGCTCCTTCTCTGTGCTGGCTCATGAAGGGCTGAAGGGTCAGGATAGGGGTCGTGGGAGGAGGGGGTCTGGAGTTCTGAGACTAGGGACTGCATGGTTGGCCCTGGCCCTGTGGGCCTTGAGACTTGTTGCCGGAGCCATGTAGGCTGGGGCCCGACGGGCAGCAGATGGCGCCCCATAGCCTACCCTTGCAGAAATTTGGTGAGAACAAGGGAAGTTCTCAGAGACCTGCTGCCACCCAGCTTTATACTTATGGTATGGTCTTAGTGAGGAATGGACGCTGCTCTGGGATTACATGATTAAAGTGTGTCTCCCACACTGGCCTGGTCTCTCCCTAGGGGCATGTGGTCATCCCAATGTCCTCAGGGCCCAAGAGCAGGTGCTCAGTGAGCATGGAATCAATGCAGGCAAGATGGAAGGGTGGATGAATGCCGCACCCGTCCTGGGAGATCCTGGGAGAAAACTGGCCCGGCACGAGGGAGCTGGGAACACTTCAGTCCACATTCGTCCTGTCCTGCCCTCGGGGGAGAGACAGCGGGGGCAGCCACAGGGGCAAAGGCCTAGGAGCCCCAACCAGCTGTGAGCCCCCTGCCGTGAAGCAGTCATGTGGACTTACTTGAATGGGTGCCGAGAGGGACCCCAGAGGGACTTGCTGGGAACTAGGGCCAGGTCTACTCCTCTGCCTTCCCCCATGGAAGAGGGCCAAGGACTCCTCATGGTTGTCTGTCCCTCACCCCTCACAAGCCTGAGTCAATCCAAAGCAAACCGGGAGACACCCGATGGCTTCTAGGGCTACGGTGCCCAATAGAGTAGGTACTAGTCACCTGGCTATTGAGCTCAAAAGGTGGCTAGTCCAAACTGAGATGTGCTATAAATATAAAATACACACTGGATTGCGAGGACTTAGTACAAAAGAATGTAAAATCTCTCATTAGTAATTGTTTTATATGAATTCCATGTTTAAGTGGTTGTATTTGGATCTACTAGGTTAGATAAAATTATTAAAGTTCCATTTTACGTGTTTATTTTTACTTTTAAAACCTGCAGCTACCGGACTTACATGTGTGATCGCACCTGATGTCTACCGAACACTGCTGCTTTAGACCCACAGGTGTCTCGGCCTCTCCGGCCCCACGGGTCGCAGCCGGGTCAGCTTTCAGGTGTGGGTCTGGCAGCAGGGCGCCTGCCTCACTCTTCTGGACCAAGGTGGCCAAGTGCGCGTGGCGTGGTGCTGGCGGAGGGAGGACCAAGAGGCTGGGGTGTTGGGGTGCGAGCCCAGGGCAGCTGGCCCCTGTGACAGGTGGGCTGGCCAATCCGGAGCCCCAGGTTCCCTGCCCATGCCTTCCGCATTGTGGTCGCAGAACCTTGGATCTGGAGGTAGCCTTGGGGGCTACCGCCTATTGCAGTGACAAAACGGGGCAATTCTCGATGGCAAACAACTAAGTCGGTGGCTCCAGAAGCTAGGTTCCTTGAGTCCCAATTCCACCCTCTTCCCAAACTGCCCGCCTGGGGCTCTCAGAGGGGGTTCAAGACCCCTTCCTACTCTGCATAGTTTGATACATCTTTGCACATGCCCAAGCTGTTTCAGGAATGCTTGTTGGCCTTTCCTTCCATCCAGCTGCCCTTGACCGAGCAACCATTTATTCTTCAGGTCTCCGTTGCCTGGAAGCTCTGGGATGGCAGGATCCTGGTGACGTTTGGTATACAACCCAGCACGCTGGCAGGACGAGGTATATGGCCGAGATTCATTGGTGAATGGATGAATGAATGGTCTCCATTCCTTAAGGAAACCCATCCTGAATGCCTCCCATCCCCAAACCAGCCTAGGCCTCCATAACTCCCTGTCCCCTCATCATCTGAGTCCCTGCTGGACAGTGAGCTGCGGGGCAGGGATGGTGGCTACACTTACCTAACAGCTTCCAGAGCCCAGCACTGAGCAGGCGCTCAGGCAATCGGGAATGAAAAAGAAACCTGGGCCAGCACCTTCCCTGATGGAGGGACAGATGCCCAAGGTTGTCCACAAACCTTCCCACTGTCCCAGGAGGGTGGCTCACGGCGGGGTGGGCTGAGCGCAGCACTCCTGCTGGTGATGCGGAACCCCTCCTCTCATCACAGCTGTGGCTCTGGGCACCTCCCTCATCCGCTCTGAATCCCGGTGGATGCGGACAGCAAGGAGCAAACAAAATACTGCCCCCGAGCACAGCCCCCGATGCCTTCTGGGCACTGACGAGGAGCATCGCTAGAGGACTCCTCTGCAGGAAGCACGGGGTCCCGCGGGACACGCAGAGAGCCCTCGCTGGTTCTCCAGGCCTCCTGCTGGCTGTGGGGTGTGGACCCTCTCCCCCCGCCCAGTGCAACAGAGCCTCACACCACAGCCGGCACGGAAAACATTGCTTTATTCACTGCGTTTGCCAACACACGAGGAGTGCAAAGGGCTCCTTGAGACACAGGCCCTGGTGGGGGCCGGGGTCCGGAAACCCCCATGAGTGAGCAGGACAGGATGGGAGGTGGGAGCTACGCGGCAGCGGCAACACAGAATCATGCAGGGCGCGCGGGCTCCGGCCGCAGCAAGGCGGCCGTACATTCTATTGCTCGTTAAGGGGAGCGAACGTGGACAATGTACAAAAAGGAGAAATAGGTCTTTGCGTTAATGAAAAATACATTTTTTTCTCTACAAAGGAATCTTTTCTAATACAAGAAAATAAATATTGCAACATAAGCCAAAAATAATTTAAAATTGCTCTTTTCAATATATTTTCAGTATTTCTCTTGTATATTAACAAATGGCACATCACTTTCTTTGAAACAAGGACAGAAGGTGTCGCCTCCTGTGACATTCATATCATCCCCCCACCCCAAGTCGTTTGTGGAGCACAGAGTGTTGGTGCGTCTGAGGGACAAGGTGGCAGGAAGTGCCTTAAAGAACGGACTCCAGCCCTGGCTCCTTGGCCAATGTGGCCAGCTGGGCCAGGGGCGTGGGGAGTGGCCTCCCCCAGGGCCTTGCTACAGGCATCCAGACCATTCTGCAGAGCTCCGGGAACGGGCAGAGGCTGGCCACATCTGGCAGTGAGCAAGGACATGCCCAGTCCAGCTGCCGCCAAGGTCTGTTAGTAGTGGGCAGTTGATTCCCTAGAAATTGCCCCAGCCAGGCCCACAATGTGCCCATACACAACACACAGGCATGCATGCGCAAGGACACAGGGGATGCACCCTGGCCCAGGCGCACACACCTACAGTCCGACACCCACGTCTGGAACCTCGGTGGCTTCTCGAAGGAAATCGAGACCCTGACATTACAAACGCTCACACACTGTCACAAAGTCAGAGAGCTCATTTAATAAAATAAAGCCTTCTACCTTTCTTCTCCTTACTCACGTTAAAATACATTTATGATCCATAAAAATACTTTCCATGCACCGTATCCTTTTCTTGCTGTGATGAGGGGGAGGGAGGAGCTGTGCAGCCAGGACTGGGAGAATGGGGAATGACAGAATGAGTAACAGAGCAGCTTCTCCCTCCCAGAAGAGGGCCAGTGAGTGGGGGCAAGATGTGGTCAAGCAGGAGCTCTGCCTCAGCCTCGGGCCTGCAAAAGGCCTCCTGCCTTCTTCCCTGTTTCCAACCTCAACGCCAGGGGTGGCAAAGCTGTCTACACGGCGGGCAGTAGACCAGAGAGGGAAGGGGCTGTGGCTAATGGAGGAAATGACAGTGGTGGGGACCAGCATCCCTGACCTCTGTGTAGCCTTGCGGGGCGTCCCAGAGGTGGACAGCTGCCCGGCAAGAACAGCCCTAGGGCTGGCCTGGGAGTGAAGGCCCCCCCCCACATCCCTCACCAGCTGGCTGAACAGATCCCTGGGCCCTATGCAGGACGCAGCCCCAGGGAGAGTCCACTCCAAAGCCAAGAGCCAACCAGAAAAGAATCCAGAGGCCAACTTGGGCAGAGGCTCCCTGAAGAGAGCTGGCAGCCCAGCCTGGCCGACCCGGACCAGACCCTGGCCAGCCAGGCTGCATTCTCTCCTGCCCCCGGGGAGCCCAGACTCTGCCTCGGGACGCACGAAGGGGTGAGGGGGCAACGGCTGAGTCTATTGGGCCTGAGCCATTCCCGGCACCCCACCCCCACCCCCAGCAGAGTCGGTTGCTCTTTTAAGCTCGTCCCCTGGCTTCCTGCGAGGTCAGACTGGGCAATCCAGCACAGACAAGATTGTGACCCAAAGCACGGGGAAGGAAGGAGGACTGTTCAAAGGCAGTAAACAGAGAACGGGGGTTGGGCCGCTGGTGCGGACGCTGTGCTGGCCGTGACTCCCAAGGAGGCAGGCGGACTGAACTCTTCACGGTGCCTTGTGCCATCCCAATGCCCGGAATCCTGGAAGCCCACCCTGAGTCCACTCCACCCAGACCGATTTGCCCAATCTTCTGAACGGAGTCCTGTCTTTGCTTCCTGTTTTGCTAAAATTCACACGAAACTGAGTGTCGATGACAATGCCACTGTCGTACCTTGAAAGTTCTGCAGTCGGGGGGTGGGTGGTCACGTTGCTCCCCATCCCGCTGATCTGCGTTGTGTATTTAGGTTGGGGGGAACCACATGGTAAAGACTTTTGCCATGCTGGTTTTGCGGTCGGTATTCTACCCCCCCCACCCCCGGTTGAGTCTCAGAGTTTGGGAAAGCTCACAGTGGGCCCAGCCCAGGATCTGAAATCCAGCGCTGGTTCCCGCTTCCCGATTCTAACAGTTCAGCAGCAGACCACCCTCTTCCAAGAGCTTGGGCTCGCCTCCTTGGGTGTGTGCAATGAACATGTCTCTACGCTTTGTTGCTAAAGAACTCCATTAAAAAAAAAAAAAAAGTCCAAGTGACAAGTTGTCAGGTCCAGGCTGTGCTGTATTATGGTCAAAATATTCTTTGGCATCCATAGAATGATTCGACTGATTCATTGGACTTTTGCAAGGTTCTTGTTGGAGAAGTTCTGGCTTCACCAGTGGCGGAAGTGACCCAGGAGTAATTCATGAAAGAAAAAAAACCATGTTTTCACTGAATTCCTTTTGTGTTTGTTCCCTGAGCTATCACCCTGGGGCCACTCCACTGAAACTCTTCAGAGCAACTACGTGGGACCGAGAGGGTGGGACGGAAAAGGCGGCAGGTGGGTCGGTGGTGGGGAGGGAGGGCATAGCCAGGAGAGGGGGTAACGGCTCACGGGGACAGAGGAACCAGGAACATCCAGCAAGACTTGAAACCTGCCCCAGGCCCCGGGATCCCACTGCTTGTTGGAAGGAGGAGTTTCCAAAAGGAAACCGAGGAAGAAGCTCGTCTCTTAGCAGGACTGGAAAACTTGGAAAGGCAAACGGTCTGGTCTGGTCAGGTCAGCTGTCTGGGAGTGACCAGACTTCGGTCGAGACTGGCCCCGAAGGAAGGAAGGAAGTTGGAGCCCCAGAGCAATTCTCTAAGTGGGTGAGTCTGAGCCCCACGCCCCTGTCTGGGCACTGGCCCTCCCTTGCAGCTCCCACCGGCACTGGCGGCTGGCTGTTTGGGAGTCCCCTGAGTAAATGGCACAGCTCAGGAAGGATTCTAGGAACCCTTTCTCAGAGCCGCCGGGCTGGGCACTGGCAGGGGCGGAGCAGCAAGGGAGTGGGGGGTCACGGGGTGGGCGGGCCTCAGATGATGTGGGTTGATCAGGAACAGCTGTGGTTCCTCTGGAACCAGCGGGCCCTCTGCGCCCCCTCAGTGCTTTCTTGTATAAGCTCGTTGTGCTTGTGACAGTGAGTAGACTCTGGCTGGGTATCACTTATCATACTTCCTTGGGGATCAGTGGAGTGCAGCAGGACCCCCCAAATGGACCCCAGTGGGATTTGGGGGCAAGGCGGGGCAGGCCCCGGGCTGGCCCATCTGCCATGAAATAATGCCCATACGACGGTCTGTGTCACCCAGTGGCAGCGGGCTGGAGTCCTGAGCTCTTCTTCACCTTGCCTACATCTAGCCAGGAGTTCAGCGACGCTGCGCGGGCCAGGGCAGGGCACTGCCCAGGCAGGGATGGTGCACAGGACCTGCGACGGTCCCTGCGGCCAGAGCCGTGGAAGGAATCCTACTGTCCTAGGCCAGCACAGAGAAAAGACAACAGTGTGGAATTCAAAACTCTCTCTATATTAAAAATAAAACCACAACAGAGTGGCAGTCTCAAGGGTCTGAGACACTCAGCAGAGATTGAAAATGGCAGTTGTGACTGGGCTGAGGCCTCACGGGGAGGACCAGGGCAGGGCCTGGGACGGGGTAGGGGGTGACTTAGGAGGCCAGCACCCCCATGCGGACCACCTCCTCAGCCCCTGCTTCCCGGGGAGCCCGCTGCACCCCACTGTCCTCAGCTTCCACATCTGAGTCGCTCATCTCCCCATCAGAGAAGTAACCATCGGTCTCAGTGTCAAAGTGTAGGCTGACCTTGGGCCTCTCGGCCACAGCAGAGGGCGGTCCTGTCCCAGCATCAGGCCTGGCACCTGGCGATCTCCGGGTTCCCTTGTTTTCACGGGGCAGCCGGAGCCGGCCCAAGGGCTTGGGGCTCGCTGTAGGGCCAGGCACTTGGACATTCGAGTCGGCAGCCATTGGGGCTGCCTCGTCCGGGACCTCGGGGGCCAGAGGAGGGGGGCTCTCGGGGGCTGCCGGGATGGGACAGTCCCCAGCTGCAGGGCTAGACGGCAGGTGGGAAGGCGTTCGCCGCGTTGGTTTCCGGGCCACTGGCCCCTGCCCCCCCTTGCCGCTGCCTGCATCCTGGCCCCAGGGCTTCTTGGGGGATCTGTCTGGAGTCGTCCGTGAGCCAGGCCCATCCTGTGGTGGCTTCTTCTTGGCAGGCAGGCGGGTGCGGCCCCGGGCCTTCCTGGCAGGGTCCCCGGGTCGCAGCGAGGGGTCCCGCATGAAGCTCAGCAGCGTCTCCTCGTCTTGCAACAGCTCCTCTGACAGCAGCCCCGGAGCGGGGTCTTCGCGGTGCCCGTTGTTCAGTGACCACTCGCTCATGGCCATGTTCTCTGCTGTGATCTGCACTGACTGAGCCAGCCAGCTGTTGAAGAAGGTGCCATCGATGGGGAAGGAGGTGGACAGGCCTGGCCGAGGGGAGAGAGGACGCAATTGAGATGCTCGCAGGTGTGGGTCTCACCCTTTCTCAGGAAGCCCTCTCAGACCCTCCCCAGCAGGCCACGGTGCACCTGCCTCCCTCCCTCCCTCCCTCTGTGCCAGACCCCACGGAGCCATCTTGATTTGCTGATCCCTCCCGCCAACACCACCGAAGAGGGGGGTCCACACCGTATTCCCCTTTTCCCCAGATCCACCTACTCCCAGAACTAGTTTCATGATTTGTGGTGCAGAATGCAAAGTGAAAATGTGGGCTCCCTGTTCAAAAATTATTAAGATGTCTCAAGGCAACAAAGTAGAACACTAAACCAAGCAAGAGCCCTTTGAGATGGCACAAGTACACACCCGTGAGGCCAGCTCTGCCCATCACCCCCTTCCCGGCGATGCAAGGGATGGAGGAATGAAAGGCCTCCTCACGCCATCAGGGGGCACTGGGTTTTTATAAGCGCTACTTCCAAAGCAGAGAAGCTGGATCAGTGGGTCAGGTGTGAACAGGGTAGTGAAGGACTTCTAGGTAGAAATTCCCTCTTGGGGGCCTGGGCCAGCAGGTGATCCTGGGCTTTTCTTTTGATCCCCAAGTGGTCCCCTTCTTGAGACTGATGGAAATACAAGATAACCTGAGGCTTCCTTGCTGGAGGTGAGGTCTGGAGCATGCCACAGTCATCCCTGAGAAGTGTTCTAGGGGAAGCATGTGACACCTTGGGAGACAGAGCCCAAAGCCAGGGGACCCCCAAGGGCTGTTCTGCTTAATGCAGCAGCAGTAACGATTCTGTGAGTGACAATGGGCTGGGCCAGTCCTGTGGCCACTCCTTTGGGTCTCTGGGGGTGGCTCCAGGAAGGCTCCCTGGTGCTGAAGGGAGGGCTCGCTGGAGAAATTCCAGCAGGGCGGGACCAGGACGGAGAATTCCGGCAGACCCTTATCTCCCAGCAGAGGGCTTCCTTCTGGAAGGGCCTAGATGGCCTACAGGTCCCTTGAGGGCCTCCAGAAAAATCTGGCATCCAGGACTCTGGCTAGGGGAATGTGCGTGCAGGCTCCTGAGCCCCTGGCCCAGTCTCCAGGTCTAGACAAGGGGAATTTCTTGGGATGCAGAGAGCACTCTGAGACCCTACCTTGTTTCCTTTATGGCTAAAAGGTGTGAGCACCTGGGCATGGAAGGGCTTCCTACTCTGTGCAATGGAGGTACTGGTATAGACCCTGCTGGCCTTAGGTTGGGGGCGGCAAATGGAGCGATGGTGTGATCCTGGCCATGTCTGCCAGGCCAGTGTGGCCACTCACTCACCCAGCTGCCCCAGGACTGAGTCGGTCCCCGCCTTCACTTTCTCCTTCTTCTCGGGGCTGCCCTTCGGGCCCTCGCGGCCTTTCCTTGTTGAGTCGCTCTTCTTGCCCTTTGCTCTCCTCCCAGACCCCTCTGTGCCAGGCAAAGAGAGAGCAGGAGGGAGGTGGTTACGCCGAGCGGCTCAGCCAAAACCAAGATCACTGCCGACCAGCCTAAGAGTCCTCGCTCACCTGCACCTCACCTTCCAGGTCACCTTGCCCTGCTGACGGGCCCCAGGCTCAGAGCCACGGGCGGCTGGGTAAGTGGGGCTCCTGTGAGTCAGGGACAGCTGGTGGGGAAGGGGGGGGTCACTGTCTACTGCTGCCCTTGAGTGGCTTGGGGAGGGCAGAGGGCCACGAAGAGGGTGAAGGACACCCTGTAGGACCCGGAATGCAGGCTGAGCTACATGCCTACAGATATGGAGGGAATCCTGGTGGGTGGGGAGGGTGGCGGAGGTGAGTGGCCAGCACAGGGCCTTCCATGCCAGGCTGAGGAGCCAGGCAGGAGGAGGTGGAGAACACCCTGAGGAGTCGAGAGACATGGGTTCCAGTCAGGCCCTTGAGCAAGTCTCCTGCCTGGTCTCCTGATCTGTTCTTGGGGTCACGCCGTAGACGGCAGACTTGGGGTGCACACCGGGCTCTCATACCCTTTTGGTCCCTGACCATACAGGTCTAGGGAGCCCCCGAGAACGCTGGAGCAGGGGAGGACATCTGCAGGGAGAGGCCCAGCTGCCAGAAATCTCCTAGCTTTTCAGCCAGAGGCTGGCGTGCTTCCCAGACAAAGCTTTACGAGAAGGCTGAGGGATATGCAGTCGCCCCGGCTCTGCCGCTAATCCCCGGCGCAACCTCAGGCCGGGCCTCAGGAGCCTCATCTCTGACGTGGGACCTGTGCCCACATGCTTCGGAGGGACACTTCGAAGTTTCCCCTGCTGCCCTCAGGAAAGTCTGAGCTCTTTGAGGCCATAAAACCTTGCATGTCCGACCCCATCAACCCCCAAACCTCGCTTGAGACAACCTCCTTTCGCCCCACTGGCTGCTAGGCCAGCCTCCTTCCAGTTTCTCTAAAAAGACAGGCTCTGGCTTCTAGGATTCCCAACTGTCCTGCCCCCCACCTGGTTTAGCTCACAGCATAAATGTCACTGCCATGGGAAGCCTTCTCCAGCCCTCTGGCCACACAGACCTCGACAATCTGCTGGTGGCCATGTCCTGTCCCAGGGGCCGAATGTCACAACCCCGAGGGCTCAGCACAGGCAAACCAGTCCCCCCTCCAAATGGCCTGCTCTGAACAAAGGGCTGCCTGTTGCTGCCAGTTAGGTCGAAGAGCTGCAAAAGTCCCCATGCTCCACACGGGGATCGGGCCCTGGCTCTTGACCAGGTTTCTGGAATCCTGTACCTGAGACTACTACACGCCCTGCCACTTTCTGTCGCCCTGATGGTGGGGCTCTCCTGCAGCCGGACGTGCGGCCACAGTGAGGTCCCAGGGAGCCCGATGTGTTTCTAGAATCACCACTGCTGCAAAGCCATCTCTGATACTCTGTCCCTGCACTGGTGCTGACCACAGCCCCTTGGGCACCCTCTCCTTCACCGTTCCAGATGGTGAGCTCCACAAGGACAGGAACTCTATCCATTCAGTCCATGGCAGTGTGCCCCGTGGTGCCCGGCACAGAGCCTGGCATGCTGTCTACACTGTTAATGCTTGCTGCAAAAACCAACAAATAAGAGGGAGCCTGGAACGCTCGGGTGGCCAGGAAGCTGCCAGTCATGGGGAGGCACGGTAAGCTCTGACCTCTGCGTGGACACGACCCGGCCTGAACCAACACCTGTATTGGGTAGGGCTGGTTTCTTAGGACAGAGTAGGTCGTGATCCCAGCCGCTCAGTCCTTCGTTCTGGGGGTGGCCCAGCAGCTCCAGTTCCTCTCCACTCCAGCCCCAGCCCGACCTGGAGGCTGAACTGGCCGTGGCAGCTCCTGGCTCAAAATCTCTCTCCATCCAGCTACACGTCACCCAACACAAGAGCGCCATTTTTTGAGTGAAGCAGTGCCCTCCTTAACATGCACCCACTCTGGGAAGGGCCTGGTGTTGGGCAGTATCCACACAAGCAACAGACAAGAGCCATGTTGAAGCTTCTTTGCCCTTGATATCCAGATCTGTTAAGTGCATGTGACAGCAAGAGTTTAAGAAAACAGAGAAAAAAGCTGCTGGTACAGCATCTAAATTCTCAGTTGAGGTCAGAGGGAAAGAACACACAGGTCCTCTTCCCTCTCTGGGGCAGCTGCCTGGTTCAGGATCCACATGGAGGCACACGGGTTCTGGGAAGCTCACCAGCTTCCGGCCCTTCCCGCCCCAACACCAGCCTAGAGCCACTGTTCCCATACCACCCACTCCTGAACCACGATGGCCCTGCAACTACGTAGGTGTTCCCAGTGGACCAGAAAGCTCCCTCAGGACAGGCCCGATGCCCACATTCCTATCCCTGGCTCCTTGTCAGCCAACACACAACTAGGGCCCCGGGAATCCCATCTTGGTCTACTAGTGGGTTACGAAGGGTCCGTGTACCGGCCAGTGGCCCCTGGCTCCGTGCACATGCCCTCACCAGGCCCTAAACACACCCCCTCCTTGGGCCCCGGCCCCCTGACAGCATGCACACTGAGCGGGGGCTGGTGATGCACAGGGAAGGTGCCTACCTCGACACAGGTCCTGTTCAATCAGTTTCATCTGCAGGTGGAATATCTGCTCCTGCAGTTTGCAGATGGCGTGCTTCGTTCTCTCGCGCCTTGTCACCATGTAGCACAGATTTCTAACCTGAGGAGACGAAGGAGAGGTATTCCACTTTATTCATGGGCGGTCACCCCCTGACCTCCCAGCTCCGGGGGGCCACCACTGCCTAACCTGCCAGGGACATCTGGGAATCAATTCCCAAGCCCCACCCAAGTGAGTCCTCAGCCCAGAGCCACAGTTCTCCGGTCCAAAACACAGGCCAAGCACAGCCTTGATCCTGCAGCCCCCACTGAACCAGAGTGGGCAGGGAGAGCGTCTGGTGAGCTCAGGCTGGTGACTCCACCCGCCTCCTCTTGGCCTTCACTTCCGGGCCCAGTCTGCCATGCTGCCCCTCCAGGCCCTAACAGTGTGGCTGCCCTCCCCTACATACACAGTGCCCCAAGGTCACTGGGACCTGGCAAGGTCACCAAGTCCATCCCTCTGCCTCCTGTCCAAGGTCTCTTTTTCAAAGACATTCCTCAGCCATAAGCACCATGGCAAACCCAACTCCTGTCCTGAGACACAAATGGCCATGGGACACAGAACAGGGAGGCCTCCAGCAGAACAGCTTCTGACCCAGCCGGGTCCTGCTAGGGCCGAGCCCTGTCCACTTGCTGCACTAGGACCCGAGCCAAGCCCACATCTACTCTGGCCAAGGCCCCTAGTCCACACGGCTATGTCCCTATAGGAGACAGAAGTCCGCAGGGGGAAGGGCAGGGGCCTCCCTGACTCCTTTCGGTCAGCTAGGAAGAGTGTCTAGTGCCTGGGAGACAGCTTGCTTTGCTCATGGGGACACAGACCCACTCTGTCGCTCTTCCAGAAGCACCTGAAACCCGGGCCACATTCTCCCCTGTCCCCCTCGCACCTTTCCCCAGCCATCCCTTCACCGCTGCTCTCAGGATGGAGCACACTTCTGGGGCCAAGACCAGGCCTCCCTCCTCAAGACATTTCCTTGTTCTGGCATCGTCTTCAGCTCAGGCTGGAGCCTCAAAGCAGGGACAGCTGGCCAGAAGCTGTGAGCTGGAAATCTGGGTCCCACCAGGCTAGTCCCTCTGTCTGCAGCTGGGTTCTGCCTTCAAAGCCGAGTTCAGGCTTCATGTCCTTAAGCTGCCTAGGGGAGACCAGTGGGTTCCAAAGCCCCTGCCTATTGTCGTGACCTCCCTTTTTCCTGGCCTGGGGGGTAGCTGTGATCACACCTCTCTGCAGACACGGGCAGCCTCCCCTTCCTTCCTGAGCCTAGTAGTGAAAGGGATCCCAGAATGCCAGGCTCTGCAGGAACTCTAAGCACACTCCACACTCCCGTGTGCACCAGCCTAGACCATGGACACAGGCCATCCGAGGCCCACACCTCCCTAAGGGGCAGCTGCCTGGCCCAGCCTAGGAGCCCTTGCTTCCTCTCAAATCCTGGACTTCCTCAGGACCTCCTCGCAACCACACATCCCTGAACACCAGCTGCGGCTCTGGGAACTCATGTGGTGTTGGGCCCTGGGTTCAGCGGCATGCGGTGCCATCGGGGAGATCCCTTTCTTCTGAGGGCTTCTTGCGTAACAGGGCAGAGGGATGCAGAGCGAGTACTTACAGGACCAGGCAGCCCTGACCCACACTTGGGGTGGCGAGAAGGCTTCCTGCACAAAGGGGCAGCCCGGCCGAGTGGGAGAGGCAGAGCGAGGCCTTGTGGCTTGTGTGCCAGGCTTGGCCTGACCGAGCCAGGCCGAGGCGATCTGGGGAGGGATTTTGCTGGGGGCGGGGCGGGAGGGGGTGTAAGTGCTGAGACCCTGGAGTCACCCTTCAGGACCGAGCTCCTCCTCACTCGCCTCCAGAGCCAGTCCCTCAGCATGCCCCATCAGTCCCTGCTGAACGTACATCGTTCCTACCAGCTCCCTCCACTTGTAGTCACATCGGCTCCACCGGACAGGCAGGCATCCTGACCCCTCTGCTATCTCAGACAGTCTTCTTGAAATGTAAATCCCCCTGCCCTTAACACCTCTGCTGCCTTCCCTACTGGGATGAACAGTGCCCCCCGCCAAATTGCACGTCCACATGGAACCTCAGCTATAATCAGTTAAGATGAGGTCATACCAGATATGAATGAGCCCAAATCCAATGACTGGTATCCCTATAAAAGGCCACGTGAAGACCTATAGGAAGAGTGCCACATGACAACAGAGGCAGAGATGGCATCAGGGGTCTACAAGTCAAGAAATGTTAAGCGTTGCTGCGAATCAGAAGCCAGAAGAGAGGCCTGGAACACACACTCCCTCAGAGCCTTCAGACAGAATCAACCTTGCCAACACCTTGATCCTGGATTTGTAGCCTCTAGCACTGTAAGAAAACACTTTTCTGTTGTTTAAGACTTGGAGTTTATAATGCTTTGTTACAGAAGGTCTAGGAAACGAACACAGCTTCCTTCCTATGACACTTAAAAAAAAAAAAAAAGATCAGAGCCAAGTCCAAAGCCTTGCCCAATCTGACCTCCCACTGGCACCTCACAGCCCGTGTCTCATAGCCCTCCAGGCTCCGGCTACTCTGCCCTCCAGTCCTGTCCTGTGTCCACCCTATGTCTGCCTTGGGGCCTTGGTATATATTTAAGGCTCTTCCCAAGGCTGGACCTTGTCCTTTAGGTCTTGGCTCAAGTGTCACCTCCCAAAGGCCTTCCCTGTCCACTGCATCTAAGCAGCCCGACATTATTCTCCCTGCACCCTAGTCCGCTTCCCTCCTGGCAGTCACGTGGCCTCGTGTACACGGGGATGGCTGGGATGAAGAGGGGTAGACAGATTCATGGATACTCTGGAGGCCTCAAAACAAACCAGTCAACACGGTCCAACCTGAAAAACAGATCAGTCGAGGTCTGGCTTTTAAAAAAATTTCCCAAACATGTCATTCTCAGACTTAACTCTTAACACTAACCTCGAAAGATGACCTGAGGCTCAGAGTTGCAAATGTCCCTCTCGAAGAAACCAATACTTAATCACTTCCTATTAAAATACAGACTTTTTTTGGTCTTTTATCTGAAACTTTACAAAAAGGCAAACCCAAATGAATTACTGGCATCAAGATCCCTTGGGTAGCTGGTTAAAACCACAGATTCCCAGGGCACCTGGGTGGCTCAGTTGCTTAAGCATCTACCTTCAGCTCAGGTCATGATCCCGGGGTCCTGCAATTGAGCCCCATGTCAGGCTCCCTGCTCAGCTGGGAGCCTGCTTCTCCCTCTCTCTCTCTCTCTCTCTCTCTGCCTGCCGCTCTCCCTGCTTGTGCTCGCTCTCTCTCTGTCAAGTGGATAAATAAAATCTTTAAAAACAAACAAAACCCCACAGACTCCCAGCGGCGAGCCGTGGGTCCCAAGGGTCTCAGCTTGATCTCAGCTCAGGTGTTGGTCTCAGGGTCGTGAGTTCAAGCCCCGCGTCGGGCTCCGTGCTGGGTGTGGCGCCTACTTTAAAACAAACCAACAAAAGACCTACACAGATTCCCAGGCTTGGGAGAATAGCAAAGTCTCTGGGGGTTGGGTCCTCAAATATACATTTAATCTGAGAATTACTGCTCTCGGCCAGGGGTCTCCAAAGTGAGTTGCATAGGCTACTCAGTTAGTTCATCGCAGTATAGGAAAAAGATGTTACAATATCTACCGGTGCGTGTATGTAGTTTTATCTTAAGATTTTATTTTTAAGTGACCTCCACCCCCAACGTGGGGCTCGAACTCACAACCCCGAGATCAAGAGTCACATGCTCTACCGACTGAGCCAGCCAGGCGCCCCTCTACTGGTTTATTTTTTGATGCTGTTAGAAATTCTGATTATGTCTGTTTCATAATATGCAGTGATAGATATGAATGCGAGATGAAAAATACAATATACTACAGGTAAATGCTCAATTTTTCTCCTGATAAGGTACACTACACAATGGGTGATATCGGAGGCTCTTGCTATGGAAGACAGGAATGCTTCTTCCTTTGAGAATCCCAACAATGCCAACATACTGTGGTTGGTACACTGGTCAGGATGTCACCCCATGCTCCTCCCCCCTCCCCCTGGAATCATCAACTAATTCTCTAATTTCTCTCAAGACTGTTGGTTCAAAAAAAAAAAGACTGTTGGTTCCACAGTGACGTGTTTCTAAATGTTGTAGCATTCCTCTTCCGTGACGGCTTTTGGGGACCGAATATTGATAACACCGTAGAAACTCATCCAGCCTATCAGGTTTCTTACGCTGTCGTTATTGTTTTTTTCTGATTATAAACATAAAAAGTTCTCTTAAAAAAAATCGGAGGGCGGGGCACCTGGGTGGCTCAGCTGGTTAAGCATCTGCCTTCAGCTCAGGTCATGATCCCAGGGTCCTGGGATCGAGCCCCATGTGAGGCTCCCTGCTCAGCGGGGAGTCTGTTCTCCCTCTGCCCTTGCCCCCACTACCTGTTCTCTCTCTTAAATAAATAAATAAATAAAATCTTTAAAAAAAAAAATTGGGAGTGGAAAAAAATGAATCAAGTAGCAAAGTCCCCCCCAAACTGGGGATTGGTCACAAAAGCAGACTTTCTGTTTTGATGACGTTGTTCTGGTATCAGTAAGTTTTACAGCGTGAATCTGAATGGGGGTGAGGAGAGCAGAGGGGCAGGTTGGGCTCCCGGCTAGTTATCTTGAGCTAGACTGGACTAGTGTTGAGGCTTCTGTGCAGACTAGGGAGGTTGTGAGGGGAGCAGGCTTGGACCTGGGTGTGCTGGGCATGAGATACTGGAGCTCAGAAGGGAGATGGGGGCTGGACCAGCCTCCTGATGGGGAGCAGAGCCGTGGAGCCGAGTACTGAGAGGTCAGCCCAAGTGTGCTGAACTGATGACCCTGGGGCCAAGGAGTACTCACAGAGGGAGCGGGAGAACTGGGGTACTAAGGGAGGATGTGGTCAGTGTCCACAAGAAACATATTTTAAGACCAAAGGTATGTTTGACAGTGGCCACCATGGCTGAGAAGGCTAGAGGATGAAGATGGAGAAGTGGCCACTAGACGTAGGGAGATGGAGGCTGTTGGTGGCCCTGGTGGATGGTTCTGGAATACGGTGGTGGCAGGAGCTCTGCCAGAGTAGGAAGCAAGGAGGAGCGAGCAGCGAGGGAGGACAGGAAAGGAGATAGGGATGGGGGTGGTAGAGGGTCCCAGGACTAGAGGAACATGGGGAGGGAGGATGTGTTTTCAGAGATGAGAGAAGGAGACACAGACTCGAATCCTAGAGCCTGAGCGGGCCTGAAGGGAAGGATGACTCCCATGCTCACGCAGGGTGCGTGCTGCGGGGAGGGGGACGGGGAGGAAGGGCGGAGAGCCGATACAGAGGGCTCTAGGGCCCCGAAGTTGGAGGGGTCCGGTCTGAGGCACAGGAAGTGAGGTTGAGGGCTGAGAAGGGGGAGCCCTGAGTGAGGTGAAGCAGGGGTGCAGACAGGCAGTGGGCTGGGGTGCCCAGAACATCCCAGAACAAGGCTGGCTGACAAGAGCCTTGGGGGGGCTCACCTGCTGCTCAGCACAATGGGATTGCTACCGGGGGAGGCTCCACTAGGTACATGGCCTTCACACAAGGGCAAGGGCTCAGGCAGCAGGCCACACGGGGTGGGGCTGAAGAAAACGGGACAGTGAAGGGTGGGGAGCAGGGGGAACAGAGCAGGGAGACAGGAGGCGGTGAGCAAGCAGGGGGATTTGAGGGTGCAGGGTTACTGACGAGGCAGCAGGGTGAGGTGGTGCCCAGGTTTCAGTGGGGTGAGCACACGAATGGGTTGGCAGTGTCCTAGAGATGGGAGACAGAGGGGCTGAGGGGCTGTAGCTCTAGAGGCCAAGGCAGGCTTTGGTGAGAGGCCAACGGGAACACAATCCAGGCCCTGAGGACAGAGGAAATGGGGTATGACCCACTTGACAAGGAAGCGGGTGGGTGGCGAGTGTGGGGGAGGGCAGGCTCTTCTCCATGGGAGAGAATCAGAAATGTGGCCTCGGGGTGATCCCACAGATCTATGCTCAGGGAGGGGTGTGTATGTCTGAGAGCTGCTCCCACCCTCCCCAGCCAGGTCATGCTCTTGAGTCAACTCCGGGTAACCAGATCCAGAGGAACCACAGGCATCGAGCCCCGCGCAGCCCAAGCCTCCGGCACGGTTGCTAGGGGACACCAGCTCGGCGTTGGCAGGCTGCTCATCAGCGCTGCAATTTTTGTGTCAGCTGTGAATAACTCTGGGAGCCGGCGGTGGCCGTGCCTTCCTGAGCGGCCCGCTGGGGCCAAGGCCTGCGGCTGAAATTTTAGGACAACACATCTTCCAGGCTGACCATGAAATGGGACTTGAGGCTAGTGGCGGCAGCCTGGCCCTGGCTTCTGCTTCTCTCAGCAAAACCCCTGCCTGGCCCCGGAGGACACGGCAGTGAGGGAGGGTGCCCTGTGATTCCTCCCCAGGGCCTTGCCCTGGGCCTGCGCGCTCAGTCCTCCGTGGAGCCCCTCTCCAAGCGGCCCACTCAGAGTTGTTAAGAGCCAAGCAGCAACAGTAACCATGACGAAGGGCAGAGGTTGCTGTACTCCCACCTTCGCGGCGACGCCAAGGTCAGTTGGCTCCTTATTCCCATTTTACAGAAAGGAAACTGAAACTCAGAAGGCACAGAGCTGGGAAATGCTGGAACTGGATGCAAACCCAGGCTGCCCAAGGCTTCTGTCTCAACCCCCACCCTGCCTCCCGGATGGATTTGGCCCAAGCTGGCCGGATGCCCAGGCAGAGGCTGGGTCCTTTCGGCCGTTGGCACTGGGCCACGGCCGGGCCACCAACAGCCATGGGTCTTTGCAGAGAGCCTCCCCTGTGGCAGAGCTCTCAGCCCTGCTCCCTCCTGCAAGCCACCAACTCAGGGCTGTGAAAGGCCCTGAGGCGAGACCCAGAGGGCATCAGGCTGGCTTCTCCTCTCCTCTGCCTGCCAGGGCCACGCACTCACTGCACTCCCTCGCCTTGCTCTCGGCTCATGCCCGCCAGTCCAGCTCGGGGGCTGCTGGAGGACGAGTGGGCTTGTTCACACCTGACTTTGGAGGGCTCTGTCCCCTTCCCAGAGGCATCTGCATGGCAGCTCTGGCTGCCTGGGAACCTGCTTGCATCCTAGCTTTTGACCTTGGCTCCCTGCTACAGCTGTACCAGCTGACAGTGAGGTCGAGAGGCTGGGGAGACTGACGAAGGGATGCTTTTGCTCAGAGAGTGTACAGAACAGGAGGTTAAGCCAACAACTCTCCTTATGACAAACCCTGCCCCCCCACCCCCATTCAGGTCCAAATTCAAGTCAAACCCTAGAAAACACACATTTCCCTAGGACTCCCTGTCATTCATCTTCCCGAGCCCTAGTTTTCTCATCTGCTCATTAAGGCCAGGAGGAACTACTTTGTCTCTTTTTGCAGGATGATGATTAAATAAGTCACCCCACCCCCTGGCCTCCCTACACTGCCTAGCTGGAGCCAGACCAGCACAGACCCTAGGGAGGTCAGACCTGAGGGATCATTTGGGAAAGGAGCAGGAGTAAAAGCAGGGTGTTTGCGCTGGAGATCTGGAGGGTGCAGACTCAGGGTGGCCTGAGGACAACTGTGGAGGCAGCTCTGGTGTCTGAAAGTACTCCATGTTCTCACGTACCTGATGCCACTGCCACGAGACAGGACGCTGGGCTGCCCAGGAAGTGATGGCTACGCTGGGCTGCCCAGGAAGTGATGGCTACAATGTAGATGGGCCTTGCCCTCTGGCCTGGCTGGAGCCAGGGACATCTGCCGTCCCCACTCTCCACCTCCCCCTTCTGACCTACTGGCAGGCCAGCTGCCAGGCTGTAAGCTCCCTCCCAGGCTGGTGGGGTCATTTCCCCTTGACCGGGGCTCAGAGTAGAGGAGTTCGGGCAAGCTGGGTCCAGATTCAGTGCCTCCACCTTTTGTTCCTCCCAACACAGCACAACACCTGCCAAGCTCTTCTACCCATTTTACAGACTTGCCAACAGAGATGGACCTAAGCCAAGCAGCTGCCTCAGGTCACACAAAGCCCCCTGAACGTGTCCACGCAGGGTTGCCTCCTAACAAGGCCTGGGGTAAGGGCAGGCAAGGGTGTCTGTGCCATGCACAGAGGACACTATGACGTGATCCCATGTGCCCTGGAACCCTGGGACTGAATGCCCCGAAGAGGAGAGGCCAGAACAGCACCTGCGGTTCAGAGACCATCCCGTTTCATCCTTGGGTTGCCTCCAACTTTCGCTAGAGGTAACACAGTGGGAAAGAAGAGTCAAGTTCGAGGGCATACCCCACAGAAGGTGGAACCACCACACCTCTTTTCTGGACGAGCAGGAGGGACTGGAAGCTTTGGGGGGGCCTCCATGGTCCAGGAAAGCAACTCTCATTATCCCTCAACCACCACAGCTCACCCCAAGGCCATGGCATCTCCTCATCTGACTCAGCTCCCAGAACTACCCTCTTGCACCAAGCCAAGACGGCTTGGTCTCCTAGCACACAGCTGGGGGGTTTGGGTCACCCATCCACTGTAGGCCCCGTGATTCCTTCCCCAGGCTGAGTGTCTGGAAGTTGCAGCCACAGAGGGACAGTCCCTGCTTAAAACATTCCGCAGTCTCCACACACATCATGGCCCACCCACTGACCTTTCTCCTTCTACTCCACACAGGCCACTGTGACTCCGGCCCGCCTGTATGCGCCCACGCCCCTTAACACCGGTCTTCCCTGCCCTGGCCCAGCACACGCTTGTTGGGTTGATTCAACTTGCTGTGATTCCCAGTTCCCCCTCGGCCTCTGACTCCAAGCAGAAGCTCATGTGCTGGGAACAGGCATGGCCCACAGAGGCCACAAATGGGGAGAGAGGCCAGTAGACACTGGAAGCCTGGGTCGTGCCCCAGCTCTGATGCCCTCCAGCCTCAGGACCCTGGCAGGGGCCCCCCACTCTTCAGGCCCACAAAAGGGTAGGGACAAGAGGCGCTCGGAGACCCCAGGGCGAGATGCTTCCCTGTTCTGCACAGTATCAGATACCCCCACCCTGTCAGAGACCGGGAGGCCCTCAGCCCCCGAGCCAGAGCGCCCGCGAGGCGGAGAGGCGCCCGGAGGCGGTGGCGGGGGCACTCACCCTCTCCAAGTCCTGCCGCAAGTGTGTGAAGAGCTTGAGGCGGCGGTACAGGACATCCTGCTCCTGCTGGGCCAGGTTGTCCACCTCGTCGGTCTTGGGGGTCAGCAGTGGCTGGTTGGCATTGGCTTTCCTCTTCAGCTTCCAGTACTGGTAGATGAAGTCAACCAGCGCCTCGGCCAGCTCCAGCCGCTCAGCCACCTCGGCCGGCTCCACCAGCTCGTAGAAGTCCTCCTCCAGCTGCTGCAGCCGCTGCTTGCGCACGGTCACCTTCTCCAGGTCCTCGCCGGCAGGGGTCGGCTCCGCGGGGTCGGAAGTGGGCTCCCCCCGAGGGCCCCCGTCACTGTGCTCCTGGCAGAACGACTTGAACTTGACCTCGTCGTTGTCTGCTAAGATAGTCCGCATTTCCAGGCCATGGTCAAAGGCGCACGTGACGTGGAACGCTGTGACGCAGGAAGGCATGGAACACTGGAGGGAAAGGAGGGAAGGGTCAGGCATGAGGGGAGTCCTGCTAGGAGGGAAGAGGTTCCACCGAGAATCGAGGCTGCTGGTGAGACCCGACCCACAATGGTACGGACTGGCAACATCCTGTGGGTATGGAGGGAGCTCTGGGTAAGTGGAAAGGGGGAACTGTGGGGGAGCCTGAAAGGAAATGGGGCTCAGCACCATATACATCCTGGGGAAAATGAGCAGTCAGGAGATTTTGACAACCCTTGGGGATAAGCTGCATTACTGTGTGGGCAAAATGACTCTGCAACAACAGGCATCAAAAGAGGCTGGTGATGGGTCACTGCCTCCCTTCTGCAACGTGATCTAAGATGGGGAGTTGTGCGCCACCTCTATCCTCTAGGAAGAGGGGCTGGAAGTGGACCCCCTTCCTTCTCTTGCCCAGGCAGCTGGTGCCAACTCAGGGCTGGCTCCTCTCTCCCAGCCTTGGATGATGACTGTGGGCAGCTGATAAATGTTTCAGCAATACCCCACCCAACTATTAATCAACATTTAGACTGCACTCACAAGTCATTTTGAAAGTCTTGAGGAAGACAAAGAATGACCCCCCACTTTCCAACCCAAAGACCAGTAGCACCACATCATCGGGGAACCTGCTGATAAAGCAAATTCTCAGCCCATTCCAGACCTACTGAGTCAGGACCTCTGGGGATAGGCCCAGCAATCTGTTTTAACAAGCCCTCCAGGTGCTACTGCTGCACACCAGAATCTGGGAACCACTGCTGTGGACAGACTGCTAGAGCCCTGCCCGGTATGGGCTCAGCTGGAGTAGAAGTGTTTCCTGCCCCTCCCACATGTTATGTCTGATGTCAGAAGTGAGGTCCATGTGTTTATTAACCCCAAAGATAGTCGCTCTTGGGGAAAACCAGGGCATGGTGGCACGGTGAGCCTTTGTTCCCAGGGCATATACCCCATGCCTGGAGGGGCTGGGGATGGAAGAATGTCCCTCGGTGGGGGTCCTGAGTCTGGCTACGGTACCAGGCCTCCACGGTGCCTCTGTCTGCAGCACCATGGGGACAGGGGGAGTGGGGTGGCAGCTGCCTGTTTTCCACAGCATCCCAGATGCACCCCTCTCTGTGGCTGAGCCTGGCATGAGTCCCCGGGCAGCCGCAAGGTGAAGGGCCTTGTACCTGGATGCAGGTGCCTGTGCACTCCTTGCAGAGGTTGCAGGACAGAGCCCAGCGGCTGGCTGGGATATGCGAGATCTTGGTGATGGGCTCCATCTTCTCTGGACACCCAATGCTGACCTGGGCAGGAGACAGGGAGCAGCTGCGTCAGACCTCTCCTCCCCCGCTCGCTTCTAGGGATCCCCCAAATGGGAGCTGTCTGCCGAAACCAGGTAGGGGGCACACAGGGCCATGGGAGAGGCCCTGCATCCCAAGACCTTCCTGACTCTCCCAAGCTGACCAGGAAGTGAGTGCGTTGGTGTTCGCTCACCTGTGACTAGTTTTGTTTGTGACTGTATAACAGAGTGTGCATCAGGCCATGTAACTGTGTGTGTGTGTGTGTGTGTCCGTACGCCGTGGTGGTGTGGGCCCTGAGGCAGCGAGGCCTCAGTGTGTGTGTGGGTTAGGTGTGTATGCATGCAGACGCACACACAGATGAGTACATGCAGCATCCCCATGTCTTCTATACCTCACGCCTTCGTTACTAGAACCTTTGGAGTTCTTATTAGGACATGAGTTTATTTAGTTTATGTTTCTGGGCAGCAAGTAAAGGCCCCAAGGCAGCATCTCTTCTCCTCCAGGGCCTGCCTGGCCAGTGGGGATGTGCCTTTGTTCAGCCCTGCCTGTCCCTCCTACGGGGACGAGCCAACAACCATACTTAAGTCTCCTGGGCACACAGCCCACCCCTCAGCCCGAGGATACATCTGCCTCCCCACTGCCCATGCCTGAAAATGGAAGAAGGGCTCCTGTTCAGAGGTCCTAAGCCAAAGGGCCCCCATGGTGGGGCAGGGTCCTTACTGGTTCTGTCTCTGAGGTGCCCAGTCCAGGGAACACCCAGAGATAGTCCCAGCTTTCAAGAGGCTGCTCTGGGAGCAAGAAACCACTGTCAACGCAACCATGATGACCACAGAAGCCTACAATGCGGGGGAGGGGGGGTCCCTGCAAGAACCTTCAGACTGGAAACCCATGAAAGGGAGGGGCCCCTGCTGACAGGGCCACCTGGCTTGCTTGCAGGCACAGGCGGCATCGGAGGGGGGCCACGTTCCCAGCTGGGGCACACAGCGGGCCTGGGGCAGAAACTCTGGTGAACGATAGCATTTCCTATTTCAAATAGAACACGATGACCTTCCAGGAGCCCAGCGCCCTGGTGACTTAACTCACAGGGGGTGGGCCTAGCGTGTTACCCATGGGCCCCCTCCACGTAGACTCAGACCCAGGCCAACCCCTCCATCCCAGCCACAGCCATGGTAGCAGACCCACCACCCACTTCTAATTAGCTCTCTGCCTGAACGCCTGATTTCCTTTTCAGTCAACGGCTTATTTTTGTTTTAAGCAAGGAGCCTGACGTTGGTTGGAACCACTGCCTGGATTTGGAAGGACCCACAGCATGCTTCCCCCTCTGCTCTGCTGCCTGACTTCTGCTCAGCTCTCAGACTTAACCACCTGGATCCCCCAGGGGCGCAGAATCCCACCTACCCATGGAAACCACCACCTGAGTTCTAGCCAAGACCACAGGCACAGCTCTCTGCGCGTCGCTGCCTCAGTTCTTCTCAGGTGCCACACGTGAGATATCCCTTTTTATGGGGGCCTGTCACCTTCTTCCCCAGTGCTCTACTCCCTGAGTTCTGGGCTCCATGGAGACCCACTTCCCCAGGGTCGCCCCCTGCCTCAATCTGCCCACCTCAGGAATCCACAGAGCGCAGCTGACGTGCACCCACTTGGTCCCGCTTCTGGTGGGCTTCAAGGCTCCTCCTCGTTTGGGGCAGAGCAGGCACTTTGGCTGGACACCCAGGGCACACGTCCGGCACAGCCAGCTGCCCGTGGGCACCTTGAGGATCCCGTAGCATGCCTGGGGAGAGAGCAGGGCGGTCACCATCGACATCCGGTCAGGAGTCAGCTGCACACAGCCCCGGCCCCAGCCCGAGCGAGAAGCTACAGATCCCCACTGCGAGCAGGCTCTGGCAAGGAGGCCTCCACAGGGATTCTAAGGCAAAGACTCCAGTCCTCTGCCGAAGGGCTCAGCTCTGCCCTCTGTTGGGAGGGAAGTCACTTTGGCCAGAGGTTCCTAATAAGTGCTGGACTTCAGAAGTGTCCATGAACTCCCAGAAGTTGGACACAAATTTGGGTTTGTATGCTGCTTGAGGACAACGGCCTGAGCGTTTTTCTTTTTTCACAGGGATTTGTGAAGGAGGCTCCTCCTAGTCATGCCTAAGGCTTATGGACCTACGAGCTACTGGGTATAAGGGATATGAATGAATGAGGGGTCCACGGTCTCTGAGCTCCCCGGAAGCTATTCCAGCAGCAGTGGCTAAGAAGTTGTGTGTGTGCTCAAAGTCAGGGCTAGAGTGGGTCCACTGGGTTCCAGTGAAGTCCTCTGCAAACAACGCCCAGCGATGCCCAAAACCTGGGAGGTTTGGGGCCCAAGATCAAGGGGGGGGGCATGCCAGGCAACACGCCTGGTAGATAAGATCAGTAGTGGTAAATACTTACAGTCTGTACTATACTGTGCTAAGCAAAGAACTCCTAGGAAGTAAGTGAAACCTCCCAACAACTTATTTTTATTTAGAGCTGAGGAAATAGAGGCCCAGAGAGGTTAAGAAATTACCCAGTTTCTTATTGAGTAATTCTTATTCAAACTGTGCCCTGCCGCAGTTTGAAATCAGGCAGCCTGGCTCCAGGCTTTGCTCTCCATCCCGGCATGGCGCGGCCTCTTTCTAAGTTCAGGTCGGAGAGGAGGGGCAGGGGAGCAGGGTGTTCAGCGGGGAGCCTCAGAGGGAAGCCCCCAGGACAAGGATGGAAAGACCACCCAAGGGATATTTACTCAAGTCTGGCGGACAGCGCTGAGCCCTGGGGCACTCGCTCCATTCCCTTCCGCCTCCCTTGCCCTGCTTCTCAGGGGCCTGTGGCCGCACGGCTGGGGCCTTCCTATAGCCGGGATGACCAGCAGCCAGCAGCAGCCTGGCGGGGCAGCAGGTGAGGGTGGGGTGGGGCTGCGGGGCCGCCCACCTGGTGCACGCAGACGTTGCATTTGTCACAGAAGACCATCTCATTGCCATCTTCACCCTCGGGAGAGCGACACACATCACAGACGACGTCCTCATCATACTCGATGCCCAAGCCCTCCTGAGTCTCGATGGCCCGCACCATATTCTGGTGGCACAGGGTCTCTAGCTCCTCCAGCACACGCTCCAGTGTCAGCTCGTCTAGCTCGGGCCTCTCTGCGAGGACAGCAGGGGAGAGTGTTAGGAGCCTGGCTTGTCAGGACAGGTGTATGGCGGGGGCGGTCTCCACTCACGCACTGTGTGACCTGGGAAAATGCACCCACGGTCATGAGCCTCAGCGCCATCATCTGGAAACAGGATGGGCTGGACCGTTCAATCTCAGAGACCCCTGGGGGCTGGTCCCGGGGCTCTGACTTTAGGCGGCCTGCTTGTGACCACACACGTGTGTACATGCAGATAACATGATAGGATCTCTGGGGTGCAGCTGTATGCATGGGGAATTCACTGCCTGAGCTGCGTGTATGGGGTGGGGGGGGAACTTCCTAGGACATGTTGGTGGGCTCCAGCTGGGAGGACCCTGCTAACTGACCCCGCGCCCCATTTGTCATCCTAACTTCACTTATGTGTTCACCTATTCTTCGTGTAATACTCAGGCTTACTAACAATATCCTCAAGAACTCTGCAAATGACAGGTTATTATTGCCCCGACCTGACAGCTACAGAACATGAGGCACAGAGACATCAAAGAAGTTCTCCGATCAGTAATGCAGTAGGGACTTTCTCTCATACCCATGCGGTGCCAAAGCCTCGTCGTGGCCACTGCCCTTCTGAGGGTGAGGATGCTGGCATTTGGAAGAAAACCCTGCCTGGCCTGCCCCCATCCCACTCTCAGCCTGGCAGGTCACCTACCCATCTCCTTGAGCTCCGAGTTGATGAGCTCCAGCCAGTAGGCATCAATCTCGTCCAGGTCATAGCGGCTGCCCCCAGGCCAATCAGGCTGGGAGCCCTCACCAAGTTCAGAGCTGCTAGGGGACACCTGGGTAGGGGGGCCTTCCAGCGGTGGGAGGATCCTAGGAAATCAAGAGAGAGTATCATGAGGGGAGGGACCCTCAGCCTGCCACCTTCACTGGGTCTGGGGGCCACCAGTGAGCTGGCCAGCTCAGCTGAGGAGCTGGTGGGCAAGTGAGATGTGAGACTTTGAGGTCACCTCCTTACACTACCTCGTCCTGCCTGCCCACCCTGCAGAGACTCAAAGGACTATGGGAGAGGAGACCAAAGGGCAGAATGTGGGTTGGGGGTGGGTGCTGACCCATTATCCTACACATCCCATAAACATCCATCCTGCCCAGAGGACACCTCTACTGGTCCTCCCATGAGGGCATCTGGGCTTAGCTAATGCTCCAGGATCCAGATCTGCCCTGCCCGGGGCTGTATCAGAGGCAGTCCACGTGCTCTCCTGGGCAATGCTCAGTTGGGATAGAGTCAGCAAGACTTCAGGTCCTTCAGCATTCCCCTCAAGGTCAGGGGGACGCCAGGGATTGTCCCTACGTGCCCGCAAGGTGGGGAATTAGAAGGGGTCTTACCTGGGGACAGTGTTGCAGCCCAGGGTGGCCCTTTCCACATTCTCTGTGGTCTCCCTCTCCAGAGGACATTGTGTCTCCTACACATCTTATCATTCCCTCCAGATACGATGTAACCTGAGCAGTCAGGTCTCTCACTGTGGTGCCCCCACCCTCAGTGTAAGATGGAGGCCTCCTACCCTGGATATAAGGATGTACATGCCTACTACAGCCCTAGGATCATACTCCAGCTCAGCCCTCCCTTGGGCCACGGCTCTCCCTGGGGCAGCTCGGAAGGGTCCTGGCTGCAAAATGTGGACTCAAAGTCCTGATCCACTATTTTCTTTTTAAGTAAACTCTACCCCCAACGTGGGGCTCAAACTCGTGACCCCAAGATCAAGAGTCACATACTCTACCGACTGAGCCAGCCAGGCGCCCGCCCCCCTGACCGACCTCTCAGTGTGCGATCTGAACAAGCTGCTGTAACTTCTCTGTGCCCTGGGACCTCATTCAAAAAAATAAGCTAGCAATAATAGTACTTACCTTCTATGGCAGGTAAGGGTTAAATGGACGAATACGCGTAAACTCTGACAACAGTGCCTGCCACACAGTAAGCACTGTAGGTGTCTGAGTGCGTATTTTAAGTCCTCTGGATCTCACTCTACTCCTTCTGAAATGGAATAGGAGGGCTTTTTTGCCTTGGGAGGGCAGTTTCCCCTCTTGGCTCAGCTGTGTGCTGCCCTTGAGTTCCCGATGCCAGCTTTTCCCACCCCCCACCGGTTGCCATGGTTATTGCTGCGGAGCCTGGCTTCCATCTGGCCAGCCCTGCCAGGCCTGAGAGGCCCCTCACTTGCCCGAGAGGCCTCCTGGGGTCAAAGGCAGGGCTGCCGGGGGTTGTGACTCAGCGCAGACTGGGGAGGGGAAGGCAGGGTGGCCCAAAGACATGGCTGAGCTATGGGAGGACTCCCCGGCTCCAGGGTGGGCCCCGCGTGTCAGCCAGAGGGGCAGGAAGGATGGAGGAGACAGGGAGGCAAAAATGGCCTCCAGACCAGGAGGGGAGGGTCAGAGGGAGGTTGAGGGGCGCAAGGAGTGAGGGAAAGTGCTTGGTGCCACGTGGGAGGCCCAGATCAAGGAAGACCTCAGGTAAGGACAAATGGTGTGACTCCCTCCTGTAAAATAGGTCATTCCAAATGGATGCAGTACTCTTAGCGCTCCAAAATCCCCCGAGGGTCTTATTGGAATTAACACATTCTTTCAAAAACATAGATTAATTTTGTCTTGACTCTGCTTTGTTTGTGCCCCCAGCGTAGGCTCAGTCAGGTTTTGGATATAAGCTTTGTCCCACCACCTACCGGCCTCACTGCCTACACCTGTATGGTCAGTCAGCTGCCCCCTGGCCAGACCTCTTGGGGCCAAGATCACGTTCCTTTCTTTCTCAGAGACTCTAGGGTTCGGGGGCTTACACCAGAAAAGGCATTCCCTGTGCTTCCTGGGGCCCTCATCTTCATCTGTGACACCGCTTCTGGCCCTGGCTCTGGCAGAAGCTATCCTACCAGGCGTGCGCTGACCTGACCCTAGGCCAAGGACTCCGTCTCAACTGTAGCCAGCAGGCCAGAGGTCAGCTGGAGGAAGTGGATGGCTCGGCTGGCACCTGGGGGAGGGTCTCTACTCCAAAAGATGACACCTACAACCAGAGGTTGGTTTTGCCTTGGGTTGAGTCTTTTGGCCACACAGAGAGGGAGCAGCATAGACCATCACTCAATTCACAATCAGGGGGTGAGACAGGTTCTCGTTACCCAGATAAATTTCAGACCGTGAGGTGGGCAGACCTGCCCACGGGCCAGGGAAGACTGGAGGAAAAGGGGGAGGCGGAGGGGGCCGGGGTGGCAGCGGGGGGAGGGCGTCAGAGCCAGCATGCCGGTGTGATCGGGGCACGGGCTCTCTCTGGGCCTCACAGGGGCAACCTGGGCTTGTTCTCGTGGCTTGTGACTTCCTGGCCCAGCCCCCTAGGCCCTGGCGGTCATGCAGGGAATTCCCCAGCTTCCTCATCTATCATATCAGGACAGTAAGATGTACTTTTAGAGCTGGTATGCTAATTAAATGAGAAGATGAACGTAACAGGCTCAGCCCAGCAAATTCTCGGGAGAGCTGCTGTAACAATTCTGACTGGGCTGGCTGGTGCACTGGCTTGCAGTGGGAGGTGCCCAGAGAGATGGAGGGACTGGGCTGGAGGGAGACAAGGGAGCCTTCTCCAAGAGACAGCCGTCCCTGCCTCTAGTCTGTCCTCTCCAGAGAGCACGGATAGGCCAGGAATGCCTGGCTCCTGTCAGCTTAGAGCAGCCGTGCATATGCGGGGAATGCACCTCGTTGAGCTCAACGCGTGCTCTCCTCTTGATGTCAACAGATAAAGCACTGCGCCGGCAGACAGAAGCCACGTTACTGGTGTGGAAGCATCTGCAATTAATTACCCAGGCCACTGGATATTTCCGGAACCACCTGACACTGACATCAAGGAGGGAGGACAGACAGCTGGGCCAAGCCTCATCAGGACTCACCTCTCTGCCCGGCTGCTGGCCTGTCCCGCCCCTTCGCTGCCCTGGGCCCTTGCCACGTGTATTCGCATTTAATCCCCACTACACCATTAGGCTGCTACTGTCATTAGTCCCGTTTTACAGAGGAGAAACCTGGCTCAAATAGGTTAGTAATAGTTCTTTAGTCTGCCTAGATGAAGGTATGAAACCGGCTAGGAGCTTAACCTATGTTTAGAGAATACATTCCCTCTGCAAACCCCACATATTCTCCCTTTCAGAGAACCCTAGAGTTCCCCTGATCCTCAGAGGGCCTGACACCAAGAGCTGGCAGGCACTCAGCCCTCCGGAGCCACAAGATGAGCCCTGCCCAGCACCCAATCCTCACAGAGCACCTAAGGAGGGTTCAAGAGTCTGATTTGCCTCTGTAATCCCATGCCCAGCACAGGCCTGGCACCAGCTGGGCACTGGGGGTCTCTGAGCCACTCACAGGTGTGGCTGCCAGCAAGCAACGGTGCCAATGTCAAGCGTGACGAAGGCTGCAATCTTTGCCCCAGACCTGGTCAAAATGCACCTAACCGAGAGCCACGGGGCTGCCAAGGCCAAGTGTGCTGCTGGGCCAGGGAGGCCAGGACATCGGGTCCCTCAGCCCAGAGACAAGATTTAGGGATTTCCCAGGGTGCAGAAAGCAGCACTTGGCTAAGCTCTGTCCCTGGAGGCAAGGGCCATGGCCAAGATGCACCAGGGGTCTCTCCAATCCGCAAGACCAGAAGGCTACAAAGCCTAGAGAGGACGCACCCTGACACAGCCCTGATCCCTGGCAGGGAACCCTCCTGAGGGTGGTCACAGCTTCTGCTTCCTGAGCATCTGCTGTGTGCCAGCATTCAACTCCCTCCCACTCAGAACTCCTTAAAAAGGTTTAAGAAGTCAACAGCATGGCTTATCCCTGTCTTAGAGACTATTTAGAAGCCTGGAGATTTCCCTGATAAGATCTGCTCATGGGAGGCAATCTGGATTGACATCAAGCTAATCCATGGCCATTTTCTACCGAGCGCTGGTGTGTGCCAGGCCCTGCACCAAGCGTCTCCCATGCGTCGCTGCCCTTGTCGTCTCGACCACCATACGAAGTAGGTGGTATTGTTACCACTCTCCTTTCACAGACAAGGAAACTGAGGCCCAGGATATTACATTTCTGGCCCAAGGTCCCAGGGAATGGGAGTGGCAATCTGAACCCAAGCCATCTGGCTCTAGAGCTGAGCCCAAGCCCAGGCCCTCAGCCTCAAAGGTAAACTGCCAGTATTTCTGGAATTTTTCAGTGGTTGATGGGACCAAAGAATCTAAGACGGAATAGAGGGAGGCTACAAAGGCCCCCTGCCCCGGCCTCCCCGGTTTAGGGCCCCCTGGCTTACCTCACCACGGGCTCTGGAATGGCCTCTGCCCCTGCGGGCACCTGCACGCCCTTCTCCCATTCCTGTCGCCACGGGTCCGCCAGGATGTAGTAGTCATCCGGGCTGAGCTGGCAGGAGTCTGGGATCTTCATGGCTGTGATCAAGTCTGTCCGGAAGACCTGTCAGGAGCAGGAGAGGAAAAGAGTGCCTCAGGGGGGTCTGCTCCACAGCCAGGGCAGGAAGACGCAAAGGCAACCTGAGTGGGCTTTCTGCCCACTTACTTAGGAGTGAGAAGCCGAAGCCAAAGGAAATCATGACAATGACACATCTTCTCTGAACTCAGCACAGGGCTCTGCACACAGGAGATGTTGGGTAAACGCGCTGAACTGAATTCACCTGTGTTCTGATCTGTTCAAGGACAGAGCTTGAAGGACGGATGGGAGTGGACCTCAGAGGGAAGGGGAAAAAGGAAACACTAGACTGCAGAAAGGCTTCTGTGAAGGCATTACTGCCACTAAGGGACTGACTGCTCACGGCATTTCCACAGGTTTAGAATTATGTTCCTGCTCGAGGGGAGGTGCGAAGGAGGGCAGGCCACCAACCCCAGGCGAAGGAAAGGCCAGGACCTTATGTAAACAGCTGAGGGAGAGGCCAGGCCCCCACGCAGCTTACAGACAGCTTCCCGTGGGTCAGGGTCCCCAGCGTCCCTTAAGAACAAGGATACCGTGTCCCCTGCTCAGCCAGGGCAACACAGGGCCATCTTCTACGTGTGAGAGAGTAAGAGGAGGGTAGGGCTGCATTTTTTTCTCAGCCAAGCCCATCCAAATCTTCTCAGAGCCAGGCCATGAACGTGCGCACCCTCATGCTCTGGTTTTCTCCTGGGCAACGGCTCACTGGATGGTGTCTGTCCCCACCGACCCCCTCCGTATTCCCACCCCAGAACCATCTGCAAGCCCAGCCAACACCGGCAATGCCCCTCCCTCCCCACCGCCTGACCTCACTGTGGCCTCCCACAAAGGGCTGCTGCACGTCTTGGTAGCAGCTCCAGATCACTACATGACTTGTTTAGGCACCCACTTTCCCAGGGATTATCAAACGAGGATCACAAGTGGAGAAACCACTTCCAAGAGCACTGCAGGCCTCAGACCAAACGCCAGCAAATCTCTCCCTCCCCAGAAAAACCAGCTTCACTGGCCTTCCAGAGGCCCATGACCAACCCGGTCAGTGCTAACCTCTGCCTGCCAGGGGCCCAACTCACTGGCTGTGCGTGTCTCATTTGAATTGAGGGCCACAACAATGAGGAAACAACTGAAATGGGTGCACTAAGGGGACTCAAGGCAGCATCTTCCAGGAATCTAACTAACATTTGCATCTGGCTAGAGAGGGCCCCGGCTTGGAAAAGGTCAAGTTTCCTGAAGACTCTATTTGCCAACATAATTTAATTGTTAAGACTAACACCCTAACGTTTAATTAGGGTGCCAGTGTGAAAAAATTAAAATGAGATTACGATTAAATGCTAATTAAGCAGAAGATGAAATGCAGTGAAGATTTCACAGCCCCGATAATTTGCATATCTTATTAACAAGCGGTGAAGACGGCTGATACAAGAACACAAACTTGGGCAGTGGGTGCTTCTGTGCTGTTCTTCCCAAGTCTCCCTCTCCCGGCTTGGGCCTTTCCTAGCCGATGCCTCTGCAGAGCCCAGCAGGACTGGGGCTTGGTTATTTCCTTCTGGAGCTGAGGCGGGACCTGGTGGGGTGAACTGCCCCCACAGTGGCCTCAACAAGGCCTCAAGTTCTCCTGATCCCGCTAAACTAAGTGGGGTCCAGACCAAAGCCCTGTCCCTCTGATGCCACGGGAAGCCTCCCACCGGGGACAACCCGTCCTCTTGCCCCGGAAATCACCCCTTCACTACCGTCACTAAGCGCCCCTCCAGAGATGCACAGGTAAGTCTGAAAGCGAGTGCTGTTCCCTCATCCTGGGCTACCATATAAGCACCATCTCCTTCAGGATTCCCTTCCCGATCACCCTGACTCAGGGAGTGCCAAGTGTCGCACAAAGGCCCTTTCCACTCCGTCATCCCCCTCGCTTCCCAGCACTTACACCCCAACAGTTGACTGGTGTCCACCTGTTGCTATTTTTTTTTTTTTTACCACCTCCCCTCCACCAACCCCCCCACACAGCAATCCTGTTGTCTGCTACGTTCTCAGTGCCTGGCATGACCACTGCCACACAGTAAGTGCTCAGAAAATAGTGACTGAGAGAGTGAATGAATGAATGAAAGGGCCTCTCTGGGAAATTACCCGAGGAGTCGGAGGCCCCCAGCTGGCTCCTCCACAAGGAGGAGCTTTCTGAACTCCCATCAACAAGGTGAGGTACCTCGAGGATATACGTAGAGCTCCCCAAGCACAGGGACCTAACTAGAGCAACATGCAGCCTCTGGTCTGCAGGGCTTGAAGCCCAAGGACCAGTGCACTACCCAAGCTGGAGTCTGAGAGACCAGACTGTCAAGCCCCACCAGCAGCGGAGAGGTGGCCCTGAGCTAGGAACAGGTGTGGCGCTGAGAACTCAGCAGGAAGGAAGGGATCCCAGGCTCAACTGGATCAGAGAGATTTAGGAAGGAGAGGGAGAGAGGGAGGGAGGGAAGGGCAGGGAGGAGGAGAAGAAGAGAGGGGGAGAGGGAGAGGGAGGGAGAGAGAGAGAGGGGTAAGAGTCTAGCCCCAAGAGAGGTGCGTGTTTCATCCCAGGTCACTCAGGGAGCAGGTGGAAGACTGGACACAGGTGGCCCTTTGGGGCAGGGGACTGATGGAAGTGCAGGAACGGGAGCACCATCATGACGGTGGCAGCCAACAGAGAGCACCGTGTATCCGGTACCAGTCTAAGGGATGTTCTTGAATTGATTTAGTATTAGTCCCTACACCGCCTCTCTGAGGCCGATGCTGCCATCATCCCTATTCTGGGACTCTAACCTGAGGTTAGTTAAATAACCTGCACCAGGTCCTACATGTTAAAGGGGCAAAAGATCCCAGGCCACAAACTCTGGAGCCTACCAGCTCTCCTCCACAACCGGCCTGCCCCTTTTGGCTGCGTGCTCAATGCCCGTACCGAAGCCAAATCACATAGCTTCCCCAAAGGCTGGAATATGCAAATCAGATGGTGGCCTTTGCAAATTTCAAGCCCTTCGGTGGCTTTCCACCGGCTTCCCTCAGGCTGAGCTGCAGGGCCTGCCAGCCCCTGTGGCCACACAGGTACACATCAGTCTGTGGAGCACTTTTGACCCTTGGCACAGAGAGGCACCCTGCTGGGATGCTCTTCTCTCTTGCCAAAGTGGTGCCGGCCTGTTTTATCTTGGAGGGCTTGGTCCCGTCCACATCTGCTCTGGGAAACCTTCCCTGATCCCAGGCTGGGTTCTGGGCTTCCTCTGACCTCCCACTGCCCCTGTATTGGAATCGCCTGGTTTCTTACCATGTAGCCCCCATAAGAACGAGGTAAGCTCAGCTGAGGTCTGGCTGGGCCACAGGCTGGAGCCCAACAGTGCGCATGGGGCCTAGCACTTGGGAGGCGCTAAACAAAGGCTGAATGGCTCAAGAGCCTTCCACGGATCTGCCACCACTTTCCTGGGTTGCTGCCCAAGGCTACGTAGAGCTGGGTACTCTGTACCTTCCAAAGGAGCCTCTGTACATTTATATAAAACCTATCCACAAATATAGCAACCCAATTGTCACCCAAACATCCTTTTTATTTTAAACTGCCAGAGGTTAAACTTGAAAAAGGCTCAATTATTCTCCTAAAACACCTCTGAAATATTTATGAAAACTAAATAAAGAATAAAACGGACACTGATGAACCGGAGGCCTTACCATGGCTAGAAAAGTTGGAAGTTGGAAAACAAGTAGTTTTCTAAGAATGTGAATGTTTACTATTTTTTCTCTCTTATGGCAGAAAATGACAAATTGTCTTTAAAGGTCTGCTGCCTAGCAATCAAGTTCTGCTGAGCTGCTTGGGAGATGTTAATTGTAGCTTCTTCAAACAGTATGAAGAACGTTGAAAGGTCTAAAACTCAGATGTAATAACCAATCTGAGTGATGGGAAGCCAGTGCAGCTCCGGAAGGAGCTGACGACGCTGCTCTGTGCAGACGTAGGGACACGCGCATGGCCCTGACCTTCAGTTCCTCTTCCCGAGACTGAAGACAACAATCACAGAACAGTCTGTCTTGTTTTCCACACCTATTTCCCCAGGAACAACCCAAAACAGGCTCTGCCAGAAACTATCAGTGGAGTCTGACATGACCTCCAAAAGCAAAGCTAATGACCACAGGCAACTTTCCCTGGGCCGTGCACCGAGGTCTCGTACGTGATCACGAGATTTGTGGATGTCACCTGAGCATCTCATCCTGGGACCTTGGTGTCTGCTTCCTTTTCTCAAGGGTGAATTATTGTATCACAGCGTATTTCAGACCAAGAGACACCAAGAGGAGGTTTAGTCACTTAAGGAAAGGCTCCACCGCTGACCATAATTACAAAATAGGATTATTTGTGTAATTATTTGTCGGATGTCCATCTCCTCCAGTAATTCAGCTGAGGAGAAGTGGAGCCTACACGTGTCCTGTTTATCACTGGACCTGTCCGTGGCACCGTGCCTAGCATGCAGCAGGTGCTCAGCAAATCAATGAACGAGCCCCAGGATTTGTCTGAAGTAGGACTAAACTCTGAAACTTCCTGTCCTGCCTAGTAGGGAGAGTAGAGGCAAGAGGCTGGCCCCGAAGATTCCTCCAGGTGGACTTTAGGAATTGGTCTTGGTCAGGGTCTCAAAGTCAATGAAATCAGCTTTGGCCAAGACGGCCTCCCCTTGACCTCTGTCCACACTAGGAGTCCCAACATAAAGCTAGGACTGGCATCTTCCTCCGAATCCCCCTGAGGATGTTTGGGGGTCTGCCAAACGGAACTGCTACTGAGTATCTCATTTTAAATCACAATCGTTTTTTCTGAGCACTTCAATCTCATTAGAAACAAGCTAATTTTGAGAAGTAATTTTCCTGTTAAAACAGGTGCTATGCTAAATACTTGAAATATATATAATATACATGTATATATACACATAACCCCACCTAATCCATATTATCGCCATTTTACAGATAGAGAAACCGAGACTCAAAGAAGTAAACCACTTATTTGAGGT